GTGTGTGTGTGTGTGTGTGTGTGTGTGTGTGTGTGTGTGTGTGTGTGTGTGTGTGTGTGTGTGTGTGTGTGTGTGTGTGTGTGTGTGTGTGTGTGTGTGTGTGTGTGTGTGTGTGTGTGTGTGTGTGTGTGTGTGTGTGTGTGAAAAAAATTGTAGTTAGTAACAGTTGATTAATTGACAGTTGAGAGGCGGGCCGAAAGAGCAGAACTCAACCCCCACAAGCACAACTAGGTGAATACACAGTACAAGACTGCCACACACACACACGCACACACAGCACAAGGATGCAACACACAGCACAAGGCTGCAACAAACAGCACAAAGATGCAACACACAGCACAAGGGTGCCATACACCCACAACACAAGGCTGTCAAACGCACAGCACACGGTTACTACACACAGCACAAGACTGCCACACACAGCACAAGACTGCCACACACAGCACAAGACTGCCACACACAGCACAAGACTGCCACACACTCACAGCACAAGGCTGCCACACACAGCACAAGGCTGCCACACACAGCACAAGACTGCCACACACTCACAGCACAAGGCTGCCACACACACTCACAGCACAAGGCTGCCACACACTCACAGCACAAGGTTGCCACACACTCACAGCACAAGGCTGCCACACACTCACAGCACAAGGTTGCCACACACTCACAGCACAAGGTTGCCACACTCACAGCACAAGGATGCCACACACAGCACAAAACTGCCACACACTCACAGCACAAGACTACCCATACACTCACAGCATAAGGCTGCCACACACACACACCACAAGGCTGCCACACACACTCACAGCACAAGGTTGAGCAGGTTATCCTGGCAGATGAAAAAATATAAATAAATGTAGGATGTCCCAGTGAAGGTGTAGCGAGAACCGTCGTGCGTCAAGTAGAAGTATGAGGACAAGGACGGGGAGATCTTGTCCACGAGGCTTGCGGGGTCCAGCTCCGTCTGGTTGTAAGGTATGGCCGCTCCTCCAGCGTCCCAAGTGGGCTGGCCGCCTGGCTTGCGAGACAGGTTCACCCAGTATAGAGTGTTTCCTGAAAATATAAGAACATTTAATCTCTCTCTCTCTCTCTCTCTCTCTCTCGCCCCTCTCTCTTCCTCTCACTCTGTCCCCCGACCCCTCTCGTCCTTCCCCTCTCCCCCTTTCTCTCTTTTGCTTGTGTCTAAGGCATATACCGGTTAGTTAAGGATGAAGAGCAGTATATGGTCCGAAGATTATCAGGAACATGGGTAACCGGGATAGGTAATCAGATGTAAATAAACTTTTTAACGATAATTCTGGAAAAAAATAAACATTTACCTAAGTATCTTTTTTCACGTCTATTTTATGAAGTAATATAAAATTGCATTTGAGATTCTGCAACCTTTCTTTGTGCTTGACACATGTTCCTGGAGCCCAACGGCGTCTCCGAGAGACTAGTAGAAGTTCAGATGATTTATATTTGTATTTACATTGATATAACAATAATACATGACTAATAAATACATACAATTATCCAATAGCTAAAACTCACGTTTGCAACGATGGTTCCACTGTTTAGACTACGATAAATGGTGGCAGCGAAAAATGTTTTTTGTTTTTTTTGCCACATTTAAAAAAAAAAAGTGTGTTAACAGTAAAAACAGTTAAGTTTGTTGTGTACGTCAGGCTAGAAGAATAAGAATGATGGTATAATAATCTAGATTCAACGTGAAGCTCAGTATTCGTAGTGCAAATTATAGCTCGTGGCTAGGGTTTAGAAGAGTTTAAGCGCAGTGGGCAGTTAGCGCCGTAAAGGGAAGTCTGGTGTATCGGCGTCTGGTGCAGTGACGTAGTGTATGTGGGGGTTAAACACTTGGGTGTAGTGTGATGCAGCCTTGGGAGGCCAGAGTGTAGTGTAAAGCAGCTTGTGCTAGATTACTACACGCCAGAGAGAATTCACAACAGTGTAATGAACATGGGTGGAGACCTATGAGCGCGTGGAGGTGATGTGTAGGTGTAGATTGTGTACTATATGTGAATTTGGAGCGCCGCGTGACCACTGTAAGTGGTTGTACCTGACGAGTGTGGGTCAGGTAAATAAAGAATTACTAGAATAAAGGGGAAGTGTGTTGGCGTTTGGTTACTAAATTGGTGGTGTTCTGATGGTGCCCTCTGACACATGATTGTGTTGTTTAATGGAGCTATTGGTGCTGTGAAGGTGTTACTGGTGGGCACATATTCGTGATGGTTAGGGCCTTGAGGACACCGGGTTGTGTTGTGTAGGGCGTTGAGGACACCTGACTGTGTTGTGTGGGGCGTTGAGGACACCTGGCTGTGTTGTGTGGGGCGTTGAAGACACCTGACTGTGTTGTGTGGGGCGTTGAGTACACATGGCTGTGTTGTGTGGGGCGTTGAGGACACCTGGCTGTGTTGTGTGGGGCGTTGAAGACACCTGACTGTGTTGTGTGGGGCGTTGAGTACACATGGCTGTGTTGTGTGGGGCGTTGAGAACACCTGACTGTGTTGTGTGGGGCGTTGAGAACACCTGGCTGTGTTGTGTGGGGCGTTGAGAACACCTGGCTGTGTTGTGTGGGGCGTTGAGAACACCTGGCTGTGTTGTGTGGGGCGTTGAAGACACCTGACTGTGTTGTGTGGGGCGTTGAGTACACATGGCTGTGTTGTGTGGGGCGTTGAGGACACCTCGCTGTGTTGTGTGGGGCGTTGAGGACACCTCGCTGTGTTGTGTGGGGCGTTGAGGACACCTGACTGTGTTGTGTGGGGTGTTAAGTACATATGGCTGTGTTGTGTGGGGCGTTGAGGACACCTCGCTGTGTCGTGTGGGGCGTTGAGGACACCTCGCTGTGTTGTGTGGGGCGTTGAGGACACCTCGCTGTGTTGTGTGGGGCGTTGAGGACACCTGACTGTGTTGTGTGGGGTGTTAAGTACATATGGCTGTGTTGTATGGGGCGTTGAGGACACCTCGCTGTGTCGTGTGGGGCGTTGAGGACACCTCGCTGTGTTGTGTGGGGCGTTGAGGACACCGAGCTGTGTTGTGTGGGGCGTTGAGGACACCTGGCTGTGTTGTGTGGGACGTTGAGGACATCTGTCTGTGTTGTGTGGGGCGTTGAGGACACCTGACTGTGTTGTGTGGGGCGTTGAGAACACCTCGCTGTGTTGTGTGGGGCGTTGAGGACACCTGACTGTGTTGTGTGGGGCGTTGAGGACACCGGGTTGTGTTGTGTGGGGCGTTGGGGACACCTGGCTGTGTTGTGTGGGGCGTTGAGGACACCTGGCTGTGTTGTGTGGGGCGAGGAGGACACCTGACTGTGTTGTGTGGGGCGTTGAGAACACCTGACTGTGTTGTGTGGGGCGTTGAGTACACATGGCTGTGTTGTGTGGGGCGTTGAGAACACCTCGCTGTGTTGTGTGGGGCGTTGAGGACACCTCGCTGTGTTGTGTGGGGCGTTGAGGACACCTCGCTGTGTTGTGTGGGGCGTTGAGGACACCTCGCTGTGTTGTGTGGGGCGTTGAGGACACCTGGCTGTGTTGTGTGGGGCGTTGAGGACACCTGACTGTGTTGTGTGGGGCGTTGAGTACACATGGCAATGTTGTGTGGGGCGTTGAGGACACTTCGCTGTGTTGTGTGGGGCGTTGAGGACACCTGGCTGTGTTGTGTGGGGCGTTGAGGACACCGAGCTGTGTTGTGTGGGGTGTTGAGGACACCTGGCTGTGTTGTGTGGGACGTTGAGGACACCTGGCTGTGTTGTGTGGGACGTTGAGGACACCGAGCTGTGTTGTGTGGGGCGTGGAGGACACCTGGCTGTGTTGTGTGGGGCGTTGAGGACACCTGGCTGTATTGTGTGGGGCGTTGAGGACACTGAGCTGAGTTGTGTGGGGCGTTGAGGACACCTGGCTGTATTGTGTGGGGCGTTGAGGACACTGAGCTGAGTTGTGTGGGGCGTTGAGGACACCTGGCTGTATTGTGTGGGGCGTTGAGGACACTGAGCTGAGTTGTGTGGGGCGTTGAGGACACCTGGCTGTATTGTGTGGGGCGTTGAGGACACTGAGCTGAGTTGTGTGGGGCGTTGAGGACACCGATCTGTGTTGTGTGGGGCGTTGAGGACACTGAGCTGAGTTGTGTGGGGCGTTGAGGACACCTGGCTGTGTTGTGTGGGGCGTTGAGGACACCGAGCTGTGTTGTGTGGGGCGTTGAGGACACCTGGCTGTGTTGTGTGGGGCGTTGAGGACACCTGGCTGTGTTGTGTGGGGCGTTGAGGACACCTGGCTGTGTTGTGTGGGGCGTTGAAGACACCTGGCTGTGTTGTGTGGGGCGTTGAGGACACTGAGCTGAGTTGTGTGGGGCGTTGAGGACACCTGGCTGTATTGTGTGGGGCGTTGAGGACACCGAGCTGTGTTGTGTGGGGCGTTGAGGACACCTGGCTGTGTTGTGTGGGGCGTTGAAGACATCTGGCTGTGTTGTGTGGGGCGTTGAGGAAACCTGGCTGTGTTGTGTGGGGCGTTGAGGACACCTGGCTGTGTTGTGTGGGGCGTTGAGGACACCTGGCTGTGTTGTGTGGGGCGTTGAGGACACCTGGCTGTGTTGTGTGGGGCGTTGAGGACACCTGGCTGTGTTGTGTGGGGCGTTGAGGACACCTGGCTGTGTTGTGTGGGGCGTTGAGGACACCTGGCTGTGATGTGTGGGGCGTTAAAGACACCTCGCTGTGTTGTGTGGGGCGTTGAGGACACCTGGCTGTGTTGTGTGGGGCGTTGAGGACACCTGGCTGTGTTGTGTGGGGCGTTGAGGACACCTGGCTGTGTTGTGTGGGGCGTTGAGGACAACTGTCTGATTTTGTGTGGGGCGTTGAGGACACCTGGCTGTGTTGTGTGGGGCGTTGAGGACACCTGGCTACTAAACAATTTAGTATTTAACCATACACAGCCGGCGGCCAGTGCCAAAATCTGTGGTGGGGGTCAGCATGTAACTCCGTCGATCTATTCCCATTTGAATTCTGGTGACTCTGACCTAACCATGTTGGCCACGCACACCACAGGAATCACGGTGCAAAGCCAGGTGATGTTTACCCATTCATCTGGGCTCCAACCTCAGGGACACGAACAGAAAGACTAACTAAAAAACTGAATAGACTGAATAGATATAGCTATTCTAATTCATTGATATAGCTATTCTAATTCATAGATATAGCTATACTAGATACAAGAACAAGTGATTATGTAATAATTTCGTAATGTGATTCCGTCACTGGGACGTTCAACACACACAATCGGAGCGATCATTATGTACTCACTGGCAGTTTTCCCCATGATGATCCTCATCTGGTCTAAGGTTATTATGTTGACAAGTCTCACGTTACCAGTACACCAAGAGGGACCTTGGCCCCAGGGAAACGTAAGGCCCGTTGTTTGGTACTCAAACCCGTCGTCCTCTACCTCGTTCCAGTTTGGTGGCGCTGCAAGCACAGATATGCTATATAAACTTCTGAATGCAACGATTACATGTTACAGTAAATTTTATGCATAACAAAGTAATTAATTTTCAGACATTTCATTCACATGCACACGCTCGCGCGTACACGCACGCACGCACACACACACACATTTGGCCTCTCGCAGTGTGTAGCTAGCAGGGTGCTACATAGCATAGTCATATCGCTAGCGATAGTGCAAGAAACAAAGTGGAGCTAGTGGCATCACCGGAGCATATAAGTGTGGAGGACTGCGTGAAGCGACCTGACCTGAGACCAGGTGGGTGACCCGCCGTGGAACTGCCTGATTGTGTTTGTTGAGTGGTGACTGTGATCAGTGGTAAAGTAAATTTGTGAACTGTCACACAACGATACAGTGACTGACTCCAGAGCTTTGTGTAGATAGAGAAGAACCGACATCATCAATCTACTAGCACTTAGAGAATCACCTAATGGGAGACAACGACGGATAACCATCGTCATCATACATCGTCCTTACTCATCTTGTTGTGTGAGTGAGAGGCAGACTAGTATGTACCCCCTCTCTGGTCAATTAATCAGGTGTACAGATTGAGGTAAAATATTATCAAATTCTTGTTCAGGATATCATATATATTTAAAATCTCAACGTGGCTCATTTAGGTAGAGGTAACGTTTAAGGAATCTCTTGACACATACACACACGCCTGCCCACGAACGTATGCACGCACACAAGGGTGCACACGCTAAAACAAACACACACACACACACACACAGAGGAGGTGGTGTAGCTCTGTTACTAAGAGAAGGTTGGAGTTTCGAAGAGATGGTAATTCAGAACTGTGAAGGTTTCAGTGACTACATATCAGGCACCATAGCAACTGGAGGACAGAAAATTATGATAGTAGTCATATATAACCCCCCACCGAATGACAGAAGACCCAGACAGGAATATGATAGAAACAACTTGGCTGCTCTCATATAATAGAGAGCAGCTTCTGTGGCTAGCAGGAACAGATCCAGACTTCTAATCATGGGAGACTTCAACCATGGGAAGATAGATTGGGGGAACAGAGACCCACATGGAGGCCCAGACACATGGAGAGCTAAGCTGCTGGATGTGGCAACAAAAAAACTTTCTTAGTCAACACGTCAAGGGACCGACAAGAATGAGAGGAGGGGATGAACCAGCCTTGCTTGATCTGATATTTACCCTAAATGAGTCGGATAAAAGGGAAGTTAGGTTGGAAGCCCCCTTGGGAATGAGTGATCATAGTGTATTGAGCTTTGAGTACCTGGTTGAGCTGGGAATTATCACCCCCAAATAAGAACTGGGAACCAAAGGGCTGGCGTACCGAAAGAGAAACTATGAGGAAATGAATAAATTCCTATGGGATATACATTGGGACCCAGAACTTGGAACCAAGTCCGTCCAAGACATGATGGACTATGTCACCCAAAAATGTCAGGAGGCTGTAAGCAGGTTTGTCCCAGCCCGACAGGAATAAACAGAGAAGCAAAGGAGGAATCCGTGGTTTAATAAGGAATGTATGAAAACAAAGGAGCTGAAAAAAAGGGCTTGGAGGAACTTCCGTAATAACAGAACACCAGAAAGTAGAGAGAGATACCAGAGATGTCAGTGTGAGAAGAGCAGCTGAGAAAAGGTATGAAAATGATATAGCTAATAAAGCCAAGACCGAACCAAAGCTACTACACAGTCACATCAGGAGGAAGACAACAGTGAAGAAACAGGTGATGAAACTTAGGGTGGGCGAGGACAGGTACACAGAGAATGACAAAGAGGTGTGTGAAGAACTCGACAAAAGGTTCCAGGAGGTCTTTACATTAGAACAGGGAGATGTCGCGGCGCTAGAAGAGGTGGCAGCAAACCAGGTGACCTTGGATAGGTTCGAAATTACAAGAGATGAGGTCAAGAAGCACCTATTGGAGCTGGATGTGAGAAACGCTGTTGGGCCGGATGGAATCTCGCCATGGGTATTGAAAGAGTGTGCAGGAGCACTTTGCCTACCACTCTCTATAGTGTATAGTAGGTCACTGGAAACGGGGGACCTACCAGAAATATGAAAGACTGCTAATGTAGTACCAATATACAAAAAGGGTGACAGACAAGAGGCACTGATCTACAGGCCGGTGTCCTTAACTTGTATACCATGCAAGGTGATGGAGAAGATTGTGAGAAAAAACCTAGTACACATCTGGAGAGAAGAGACTTCGTGACAACCCATCAACATGGGTTCAGGGAGGGTAAATCTTGCCTTACAGGATTGATAGAATTCTACGATTAGGTGACAAAGATTAAACAAGAAAGAGAAGGGTGGGCGGACTGCATTTTTTTGGACTGTCGGAAAGCCTTTGACACAGTACCCCATAAAAGGTTGATGCATAAGCTGGAGAAACAGGCAGGAGTAACGGGTAGGGCGCTCCAGTGGATAAGGGAGTACCTAAACAATAGGAAGCAGAGAGTTACAGTGAAGGGTGAGACCTCAGACTGGCGTGAAGTCACCAGTGGAGTCCCACAGGGCTCTGTACTTGGACCTATCCTGTTTCTGATATACGTAAATGATCTCCCAGAGGGTATAGACTCATTCCTCTCAATGTTTGCTGACGACGCCAAAATTATGAGAAGGATTAAGACAGAGGAGGACAGCTTGAGGCTTCAAGAAGACCTAGACAAGCTGCAGGAATGGTCGAACAAATGGCTGTTAGAGTTTAATCCAAGCAAATGTAATGCAATGAAGATAGGGGTAGGAAGCAGGAGACCAGATACAAGGTATCACTTGGGAGATGAAATACTTCAAGAGACAGAGAGAAAGACCTGGGGGTTGATATCATGCCAGACCTGTCCTCTGAAGCTCATATCAAGAGGATAACAGCAGCAGCATATGCCAGGTTGGCTAACATAAGAACGGCCTTTAGAAACTTGTGTAAGGAATCTTTCAGAACATTATATACCACATATGTCAGACCAATCCTGGAGTATGCGGCACCAGCATGGAGTCCATATCTAGTTAAGCATAAGACTAAAATGGAAAAGGTTCAAAGGTTTGCCACCAAACTAGTACCCGAGCTGAGAAGTATGAGCTACGAGGAGAGACTACGGGAATTAAACCTCACTTCGTTGGAAGACAGAAGAGTTAGGGGGGGACATGATCACCACATTCAAGATCCTCAAGGGAATCAACAGGGTTGATAAAGACAGGCTGTTTAACACAAGGGGCACACGCACTAGGGGACACAGGTGGAAACTGAGCTCCCAAATGAGCCACAGAGATATTAGAAAGAACTTTTTTAGTGTCCCCTCACAGGAGGCGGCACGCTCCACTAGCCAACTGCTAGAAAGGAACAGATCAGTGGTTGCTGTGGGTATTAAAGTGCAGGAAGGCTCTAATAAGACAGAGTGGAATGACAAAGACAAAGCAGCAGTGAATGAAGTACTAAAGGCACTAGACATGGAAGGGGCTGAGCATAGCATTGAGAAGGTTTTCCGGCTAGGTTCGTACAACAAAGACCGAGACCGAATGATAAAGATAGTGTTTGCAAACGAGAGCACAAAGGAGAAGATCCTATCAAGGAAGAGCTCCCTGAGAAACGTGGGAAAATTAAAAAATGTATTCCTCCAGAGAGACATGACAAGGGAGGAGAGAGCCGTGGCGGCAGAAGCAAGAGGCGCAGGGTGAGAGGGGAAAACCAGGAAGTCACAGCTCCCAACACAATACCCCCAGAGGCGAGGGGGGAACCCACAACCAGCTACCCAGTAACACCAGAAGGGAGGACAACCCCGCCACCCTCCTCTGCATAGAAAACCCCCCTACCCCAAACCCTCCCTGCCCCCACTCAAATGTTCAGCCAAATCTCCCTCCCCCCACACCCAGTCCCCACCCTTCTACCCCTCCCCTCCTCCCGAGTCCTCCCTCCCCCCCTTTCCTTCCCGTCCTCCCTCCCCTTTCACCCCATACCCTCCCTGTCCCTCCCCTTCACTGGATCCCCCGCCCCTCATCCCAGTATCCTCTGAGACCCTGTTATCCACCTCACAGGTCCTCACACCCATGGAACAGCCTCCCCCATCAGCAGAACACTCACCAAGGAGGCGATTTGAGAAGGGACAGAAGAAAGTGAGCCTCAAACCAATGTACACTAACATAGATGGAATTACAAATAAAGCAAATGAGCTTGGAGAACGGTTACTAGAGGAAAACCCAGACATAAAAGCCCTCACAGAAACAAAGCTCTCGAAAACGATAACAAACGCAGTGTTCCCACAGGACTATTATGTTACGAGGAAAGAGAGGGAAGGAAGAGGTGGGGTGATTTAGCTCTGCTGGTAAGAAAAGGCTGGGATTTTGAGGAGATGGATATTCAGGGCTGTGAAGGTTTCAGTGACTACATAGCAGGTACCGTAACAAATGGAGGGAAAAAAATATAGTCGTAGTCATATATAATCCACCACCAAATGACAGAAGACCTAGACAGGAATATGATAGAAACCACATGGCCACCATTAACATAATAGAAAGAGCAGCTTCTGTTGCTAGCATGAATGGATCTGGACTACTAATTATGGGAGACTTCAACCATGGGAAGATAGATTGGAAGAACAGAAACCAGCATGGAGGACCAGAAACATGGAGAGCTAAGCTGCTGGACGTGGCAACAAGAAACTTTCTAAGCCAGCACATCAAAGAACCAACAAGAATGAGAGGAGAAGATGAACCAGCAATGCTTGATTTGATATTTACCCTAAATGAGTGGGATATAAGGGAAGTTAAGATGGAAGCGCCCTTGGGAATGAGTGACCACAGTGTATTGAACTTTGAGTACCTGGTAGAGCTAGGACTTATCTCCCCCAAAAAAGAGCTAGGAATCAAAAGGCTGGCATACCGAAAGGGGAATTATGAACAGATGAGAAGTTTCCTAAGTGAAATACCTTGGGACACTGACCTCAGAGATAAGTCTGTACAGGGTATGATGGACTATGTTACCCAAAA